CCCCAAAACCCCAAAACCCCAAAACCCCATGGATCAGATTTCGATTTAATTTCAGTATGAATTTTTATTCTGGAAAATCAAATATTTTCTTATATAATTCTGTTATAATTACTGAATGGAATTAAGAGTAGGAGGAAAGTATAAGTTCACGAAGAAATTAGGCAATGGAGCCTTTGGAGATATCTATTCTGGAGTTAATATTAAGACAAATGAGGATGTAGCTATAAAACTGGTATTTAATTCATTAAAGCCTCAAAATAAAATAATAGGAATTGTTAAAGTCTAAAATTCCATAGTTGCAATATGAAGCTAAACTATATAAAGTTTTCGAAGGTGGAGGTAAAATTTTCATTTAAATTCTTCTAGTTGGACTATCTACTGTTCATTACTTTGGAGTTGAGGGAGATTATAATGTAATGGTGATGGATATCTTAGGTCCAAGTCTTGAGAACTTGTTTTAATTTTGTGAAAGATAGTTCTCTTATAAGACTATAATGATGATGCTAATTCAGTGCATTGAAAGAGTCGAATTCCTACATTCAAGAGATTTTATCCACAGAGATATCAAACCTGAAAATTTCCTGATTGGAGTTGGAAAGAAAGCACATTTAGTGTATACTATTGATTTCGGATTAGCAAAGAGATATAAGGATCCGAAAACAGGTTCTCACATTGTATTTAAAGAAGGAAAAGGTCAAACTGGAACTGCCAGATATGCTAGCTTAAATATGCATTTGGGATATGAGCTCTCTCGAAGGGATGATTTAGAAGCAGTTGGATACATGATAGCATATTTTGTTAGAAAAGGGAATTTACCTTGGATGGGATTAAAAGCTAAGACTAAAAAAGATAAGAATGATGTTATAACAAACTCCAAGGCATTAACTACATTCGAGGAGTTATTTGAAGGTCATCCTGTGGAACTTATGAAGTATATGAAGTATTCTAGGGCACTTGCATTTGATTAGAAACCTGACTACTCTTACTTGAAGAAAATGCTTGAAGGCTACTTATAAAAAAATGGATACGATGATGATTAAAACTTTGATTGGGTCTTAAGAAGACAGTAAAAAGTCAGAGATTTAAATCCCTAATTAGCTATTCAAGAGGAGGAATAAAAATTGGAATCAGGTAGAAATGGAAGTAAATCTCCAACTAAAAGATAGGGCTCTTAAGGCCTTTCTACAGGGAGTTTAGCGACTCTTTAAAAGAAAAATAATATTTAGAACGGAGGTCGTAATTAGAGTGTTCCAGGAAGAAATCCTAGAGGTCTTGATGGGTAAATTAAATCAAAGCCTACGATGAGTTAGGCAACTAATCCAAATCTTAATGAAAAAGATGTTATCAGCCCTAAAAAAGAAGGAATCTCTCTCGATGGAAAGGATAAAACTCCCAAAGAACCAGAAACTGAGAAGTAATAAAGAGATAAAAAAAGGAAAGAATAACTTAGTGATATTCTTGTAAAAGAAGATCAAACAGCTATTAAATCTAAGAAAAAAGGTAAAGAGGAAAGTAAATCGAAAAAGAAAAAGAAATAAAAGGATGATGAATCACCAAAGAAAAAAGGTAATATTTAGGATTAAATTAAGCAATAAAAATGAGAATGATCATAAGAAGCAATCATTGAGCTCAAGGCAGCTGAATTAAAATCATCTTTTTCCTATTCTCGTAATAAACAAGTGATAAATCTAAATTAAACTTTAGTTCTAGCATATAAATTTACTTTTATTTTTCAATTTCTCCCATATCTTAACTATAACAGTTGAAGGGGTTTTGGGGTTTTGGGGTTTTGGGGTTTTGGGG